GGGGGGTCTCTATTTTCTTTGAAAGACAACATGATTATTTTACAGCCATCTCCCAGTGGTTTTATATGGCTAACTTAAGATTCAGCTCGACATAAAGTCAGCCAGGGAAAATGAAATTGCGGCATAAAATTAATTACATGAGGAATTACAATGAGCCTTTGGAAAGTCAGACCTGCATTCAACACGCTGACATGACATGTGCTCAAGAGAACAAACAACATTAGGATGTGTGCACCTTCATTCCACTGATCGGATCGGTTCTTCATGATCGAACAAGGGTCGAAATATGTATGGACAATGATCACAAGGAAGAGAATCAGCGACAACAAAATTTGGGTCATGAGGTCGAATCAGGCGCTCGTCAATTTTTGGGCATGTGTAGTATATTTTGGTGCCCTCTTCAACTTGCTCATTTGTCTTGCTTTTGATGCCCCCATACTCACGTATTTTGAATAAAGGTCAAGATATTTGCGACTGAATGAGATGGATGTCGCCTGGTTTAGTGACGTATCTATTTCACGCTCTTTGTGTGTGTCATTCTCTCTCGCTATCCGCCTGTTCGTTTATCTATTTGTCCATCAGCTTTTGATGCCCCCCCCCCCCCAACCCATATCTTTAGAACAAAAGCCTATATATCTACGGTTGAAGGAGATGGGGGTTGCCTGGTGTCAGAGGTAAAAATAAGCGAGAACATAGCTGCAAAGTTTGGTGACTTCCTACCAAATCTTGAGTGTCCTCGGAAACTGCATTTAAAACATAACTTTTTGGAGGCACTTTTAATCAGCGCTTTTTGCCTGATTTCACCTCCATGTCACACATTCGTTCTTGGTGCGTTAAAAAATCCTGCCTCTGTTAGTGAAGTTTAGCTACCTTAGAATTACAAAGTTCGGTCCGATATCTTGGGCGGTTTTGAGTTACTAAAATCATGAGGTCAGAAACCAAATGTTCCATCTGCTCTGTAAAAATCGTATCATTATACGAAGTCGTTATCAAGATATTCAAAGAATTGCACTCGAAAAACCTTGACGTTTTGTGAAACTCAACATTTTTGGCATCAAATTTCTCACAACTAGGTACAGAGCAGATGGAACTTTGTACCTCAAGGGTAGCGATTTATCGCTCTCTCTACCCAATCTAGTCTGCCAAAGTCGAGGTGATGTCTATTCTGTTCCGAAAGTCTGGCCATGATCCTGCAGCATCGGAGCAGTGCACAACAGATTTACATATATATGTTTTCGACAAATCAATATTTGCCGTCTGCTGTTTCCTGGATGTTACGTCTCCCAATATAGACCTTTCAATAAATAAAAACTGATTGTCTCATTAACGTTTCTCAGACAAACAGATGTAAAAAGTTTCGGAAGTTATGAAAGTTCGTGTCTAGGGCCATCATTTTGTCGGTGTGGAAAAGTAAAACCTCAGCTCAAGCAATCGGAAAGCTGAGGCTTAAAGGATCCGACCTCGACGAAGAATAAACATATTATTATGGAAAAAGGAATTCTGTTCGAAAAACATTTTTTAACACAATTTCTTCTTGTTCTTCTTGTTTTTCGTGTTGTTGTTGTTGTTGTTGTTGTTCCTCCTCCTCCTCCTCCTCCTCTTC